TTAAAATTTTATTAAAAAAATTTATATTTTAAAAAATTTTGCAAGCAAATTTGGCTGCAAAACAATTTAAGGGATAGGTTACAATAGTATTATTAGGTTTTTTTTTTTTTTGTCATTTTTTCTTTTTCAAAATCTGTGTTTATTTTTCTTTTAGTTTATCTATTTTCTTTTTTAGTTATTTTGTAAATTTGTTTTTTTTTTATTTATCCTTTTTGTCTCATACCCCTTGAGAAAATAAAAAAATTAGGAGAGAAATTAGTTCTAATATTTTAGTTCTTTAAGTGCTAATATTGGATACAAAAGAGTAAAAACCCCTTTTAAACAAAGTTCATAAAAAGAACTTTTTTAGCTTATTTATAAGCTTTTGTGATAAGTTGTGCCTAGGTACTGAAATAAGCAACTAGGTAAAGTCAGGCTTTGGATTAGTCTTAAAAAGTAAATATATATAATTTGTATATACTAACAACTAAAGAGGTTAAGCTATGGCAAGACTTATCAAAAAAATAAAAAAAAATAATAATAAATGTGCATATATATTGTATATTGAAATAGAATTATTGAATTAACAGTATACGATTTAGCAGAAATCTAATTTTAATTGAAATTAGTATATATTTATTATAAAATAAGTGATCTAGTAATCTGATCTTATTTTCAATTTGAACAAAAGTTTTATTTTTTTTTTTACAAAGTATGATAAAAATTTTGATTTTATAGAAATCTCCAAATACTCCTATTTTATTTTCTAGTTTTAAAATTTTAAAAAACAAGATTTTTCAATTCTTATTTAATTTTAAAATATGTTACTAATTTATTAACTTTGAAACCCCTTATTCTATATAAAAACTGAGTTAACGGTTCTATAAATAGGTGATTTTAGTTTGTAGCTGAATTTTATTTTATTTTATTTTTTTTTTAATCTTAGGCAGTCTCGCCAAAACTTTATTAAGTTTATTTGCTATACTAGATTACAAATTTCTATCTTAATCTGTAAGTTTGACATTACTCGAAACATGTCAAGTATGACCTGCCACACTAACTCATATTTTTATACAGAGTTAGAGGCTATGTCAAACAGCCTAAGACAATAACCACAAGGATTAATTCTATCACTAATAAATAATTCTATATATTCTCTCCATAAAGTATCCACCTCTTCATGCTTTTTTGAACTCTCTGACAAGTTTGCTCCAAGATCATGTAAGATGTCCTTATACTTTTTCTTCCATTTATTGTTACTTTCTTGATTTTTTTCCTTTTTTCCCTTGTACTGGTTTTTCTTCTTTCTTGCTATATCTAGAGTTTTTTCCTAATCCAGAATAGCTTTACACCTTGGCTTCTAAATATCTTCATAGAAATAGTTCCACATTGCTGTGAGGAGAATCTTGAGTAGATATCTTGTTTCTGCTTGCGAGTTACACTATTTAGATAGCTTTTCTTCCATCCTTTACTTTACTAGACTTCTAATTAGATATGTTCTTGTGTTTCTTATTTCTTTATTCGAGGACCTAAATAGAACTTCGTGCACTTGCTTTTCTGTGACTTTTCCCTTTTCGCTTATTGAATTGATTTTTTCACACAAGATTTTAGTTATACTTTCTTCAATTAGTTTCTATCTACTTTCATATACACTGCAGTAGGCTAAGTGTTCTTGTGATTCCTTCTCTTCGCTATTGCAGAGTTTATATTTTGCATTGGGGTAAAGGTCCGGAAATCTTGATACCATGATTTTAAGGACTGGAAGTTTTCCTTGGAAGCCTTTAATAATTGTACAGAGTTTTTTACTTTTACTTAAGAAGTCACATCTTATTCTATTCTGCTCTCCAACTTTATTCCATAAAAAGGCCCAACTAAATTTGCAATTCTGGATCTCTGGCTCCACTTTTTTAATTAAATCTGAGCACATTAATTCTGAACTGATAATTGTTTTTCGAATTCGGTTTAAAAAGGATCTTGTTGGGTTCTCAATTACGTACGATTTCTATTTCAATACCATACTGAAGTTTACGCATGATGTTGTTCTAACTTCTAAATCATCATTTGCCATAAGGCCCTTTTTTGCCAGAGAGTCTGCTTTTTCATTCTACTTGTCTTCTGAGTGGCCTTTTACTTTAACCAATTCTAGCTCTATATTCTTAATACTAACTAAGCTCTTGATTCTATCTAAAATATTAAAGTTCGAAAT